GTAGCATTGGTGTCTCCCTTAAGACCTCTGACTCAATAGTGGAATCCAGCTCGTGACGAATCTGAGTGATTTTCTCCCTGAAATGCCTGGCAAAGTCGTCACAGCGGGCCTTTGAGGGTGGAATCAGATCTTCTTTCGGACCTGGGCGAACCAGGCCTTGCACCACTCGAAAGAGCTCCGCCGGACGGCATTGTGAGGAGGCAATGGAAGCGGAAAAAAATTTCTTTTTCGCCGCCCTCACCGCCACAGCATAGGCCCGATAGTGGGCTCTTAAGTGTGTTCGGTCAGATTCATCCCGTGATTTCCTCCACCTACACGCTAGCCGTCTCCCAACCTGCTTCATCGCCCTCAATTCAGGAGTATACCAAGGGGAAGAGCGGGCTCTGCCCGGTGGGAGAGGGCGCTTAGGAGTGATCGTGTCTACAGCCCTGGTCACCTCCCCGTTCCACAGTTCGACCAGAGCCTCGACAGGAGCACCCATCTTGTCAGCCGGAAACTCCCCCAGAGCCTTCAGGAATCCTTCCGGATCCATCCGGCTCTGGGGGCGGACCCACACAACTTGCAATCTTCCCATGTTTCTTCTTTCTTCATACTACAGAAACCCCATTAAGGGGAAAAGATCAAATGACTACACAATGCTTTTGATTGCTGGTGCTAGAAGATGTCTGTCTGGAAGCTCCCCTACTCACATTGATCACAATAGATTCATCTTTAGTTGTCTGTCAAGCTATACTTGGGACTACTTTTTATAGCCTGTGTATACACCTCTAGTGAGGGGGCCTTCACTCATGCACATTCTTTGAAGATATCAGGTTTGACACAATATAAAGTAATTCTGTTTCTATCCCAGAGGTTTTTGGGATGAGACCAACCACTATTATACTCAGATCCAGACCATCACAAATATGGAATACAAGGTTTTTCATAAACAGTGAAACTGTATAGTAACTCCAGGTTCTAGTTCCCACTTGGTCATGAAGGTTTGAGCCATGGGTGACTTTGGATCAGTCACTCACTGTCAGCCTAATTTACCTCACAGGGCTGTTGTTGGGAGGAGGAAATGGAGCTCTCTAACCTGTCTTGGATTCCTCAAGAGGAAAAAAGGCAGGATATAAATGCAATGCAATGCAATGCAATGCAATGCAATGCAATGCAATGCAATGCAATGCAATGATGATGATGATGATGGTGTAATGATAATGATGATGATGATGTAATGTTATAATGACATTAATAAAGCCCTGTATCACTGATGGAAATTAAGATATCAAAGTAATTTCATTATACATAGAAAGGTATCAGAGAAACTTTGGGCTTTTTCAGTTTTGAGAATACCACAATAAATTTAAGAAGTAGACGTAGTCAATATGGAAGTAACTGGAAATATTTGCACCAGTGATTTATTCATGTATTTTTAGAATTAACTCATCTTTCTTCATCTGTTAAAACAAACTGGCTGCAGGATTCATTTTCACAACTTGTTTAGCTCATGTGTTGCATTCTGTGTTGCTGTCCTATCATTCTGCCACATATACCAATACATATTTTTGCAAGGTATCACAAGATTAATTTTATAAGAGCTTTTGTTGGATGAAAAATACCAACCTATGATGAATTGTATATGTAAAAGAGTTTAAGGTAGCTGTGTTAGTTCATAACAAAAGATCAAAACCCACAATATTGTAAGACTTTTATTAGGGCCAAGCAAAACACCACAGTCATGACAGCTCTTCTGGAAGATTGCATGGCTTGACTTTCTGCCTTATGAGCTAGAAGGTTATGAGAATGAACCCTTGCACTCATTCAGATTTAGCACAAAATCAGAATCAGTCTTGCGATGTTTAATTTTACTAAAACCAAAAGCATCAGCTTACCTGGGGTTTTAAAATCTTCTCTTGCTTTTGATGTGGCAATTTCAAACCATGTCAAGTAATAATCTTCATAGGATATGGCTGTAATCTTCCTGAAAACATACATTTGGAACAAAGGATGAGTTTTCAGGGGGGGATTATGCAATTAGTTACTTGACACACATTCTCCTCTGCAAAATGGTTCACAAAGCAGCAGAATGAACAACAAAAAGTGGTTTAAAGGATCACATTATTCACTATTCACTTTCCACATACATATGAGATGAAAAAGCATTAATGTGAAGAAACTCAACCCTTGCTTTTCATACTTGCAGTTTGAAAAAGTCAGACTCCTTCTCACTAAAATCCTTTTGGGTGAAACTTTTACTTAGGAAAATACAAATGATTCCCTTTATTAAAAAGCATGCTAAATATAATGGGTTTCTCATACAACGATTAAATGCAATGGAAGTGATTACATTGAAAAAAAATAAGTAACCTATTTCCATTTGTGAACTGTGATGGTGGAGGACAGGAAAGCCTGGAGGAATGTTGTCCATGGAGTCGCCATGGGTCGGACACAACTTCACAACTAACAACAACACCTCCATTTTACACACACTCTTATGAAATGACAAGAACTTGAGTGCAAGGGCCATCACTATTCTTGGTTTATCTGATGTTCACTTCTCCTCTTTCACATATTCTCTCCTGCAAAACGTCAGCAACTGCTCTTCAAAGTCTTTAGTTTTTTGCTTTTGTTTAAAGTTGTGAGAAATTTTTCAAACTATGAAACAAGTTTGTCATCTTTTACATCCGTTGTATCCTCACATCTAAAGATTGTCCACTCTACTGCATGTTCATGATTTTGTTTTAAATACAGCTTCTGCTGTTTTAGATTTTTATCATTTTCACTGTTTTATTATTTGTTGCCTGGAATATTTACTGAAGGTTGGGATAGTACTTTTCCGAACAGATGATTAATAACTATTCAGACATATGAAAAAACACCTGTATAGTTACCATAATTTGGGTGAGTATAGCAATTGCTGATTATAGCATTTCCTCATGGCTCATTTACAGGGCCTTTAATGCAATTTATTACCTCCTTTGGGCAGGAAAATATTCTTCAGATGTTTGGTGGCACTTAAATGAAATGGCAGAGTCTTTAAAACTGGGTTGAGCTATAAAAGGAAAAAAAAGGAATATTTAAATATTTAAAAGTAAGGAACTTCTGTTAGGAACTTATGAAGTCATATCATTTCTTGTTACCCATATAGTCAAATCATTTCTTGTTTCCATCTGGCTCCTCCACCTGCCTGCTTTCATTGGGACTCTGCCTGCTGGTCCTGCTCAACTGCTCCCACCACCACTGTTGCAGGCCGCCAGCTGCCTTCTTTTCCATCTAGACTGATCCAGTGCGGCAGAAACCGTGCTGGCACAGGGAAGACGCAGGCTACTTCGCAGTTGTGGCACTGAGGCTGAGAAAGGCAGGGCTGAAGGCTGGAAGGCCCTCCCTGCGGGATTTTAGCCATCCACCATGCTTCCACCTTGCTGCTGCTGTGCTGAGCCTTGGGAGCTGGAGCTCACTTTGCCTGCCCCGACTCATTGAGCTGCAGCATGACAGAAGTCAAAGCTCGACCCAGGAGAGACTGTGCTGTCACCACCAACACCTGGCTGCTGGGGGCAGAACTTCTGTCTGGGACCATTTTTCCCCCCAACACCCACAAGAGACCTTGGAGGACCTGCCTGTCTGGTGTCTGCCTGGTGCCTGGTTTGTGTGGAGAGCCAGGAGGCTCCCCCCTCCCCGCTTTTCTTCTCTTTCATTTTTCTTTCTTTTTTGTTTGTTTGTGTCTATGTTTGTGTTTTTATAGGGTCATTCAGCTATGGCCTTTTCTGCAGGAGGTGAGTCTAGGGGAGCAGCAATTCAGGTGGTGATGGGTAGGGGGTGTTATGGCGGTGGGGGGAGGGCATGTCCTCCCAGGAAGAGTGGGGACAGATGCCTAGTATCTGTCCCCTGTTCTACCCCCCTCCCCCCCCCCCAGCCTAAGGGTGCCGGACAATCATAATAGTCTGTCCTCAGGACTTCTGGTGCTGTTCATTAATGCCAGGTCAGTGTGTAATAAAAATGCCATCATTCACGATTTGATCGTGGACAAGAAGGCCGACCTGGTGTGTATTACCGAAACCTGGGTGGGAAAGGAGGGTGGGGTCCTTCTTTCACAATTATGCCCCCCCCCCCCAGGTTATTCAGTGCAGCACCAGTATCACCCAGAGGGCTGGGGAGGGGGGGTTGGCAATAATTTTTAAAGATTCGATCTCTCTTGCCAGGCTTCCTGTCCCCTGGGGTGAAGGTCTAGAGTGTCTGTACTGTGTGTTGAGCTCCCAAGACAGTTTGGGGATTCTGTTAATATACCATCCACCCACTGTCCACCTTTATCAGTCTCCCTGCCTCAACTGACAGAGTTGGTCTTGGATCTGGTTTGAGGGTCCCCAGGATTTTTTGTTTTTTTTCGATGGGGCAGGTGGATGGTGGTTCCATGGTAGTGGGGCTAACTTCTACCCCATTGTCATGGTTGAACCATTACCTGGTCAAGTTTAGGTTGTTACCTCCTTCCCCCCTCTGGCAGGGTGGGGGATCAATTAGAATGATCTGCCCCTGGAGTCTGATGGATCCTGAAGGCTTCCAAAGCCAGAAGTGTGGCTTCTAGATCAAGAGAGGTATTACTACCAGTCTATTCGACTCTGGTGCATCTGCAACTGGAGTATTGTGTTCAGTTCTGGGCCCCTCGTTACAGGAAGGATGTAGCCAGGTTGGAGTCAGTGCAGCGTAGGGCCACAAGGATCCTTCACAGAACTCAGGACCAACACAATAGACAAATGAAAGCTCTGTGAGAGCCAAATAGAACCTCAAAGAAGGAATATTCACATGGACTTTTGCCATATGTAGACCAAAGCACAATGCTTAGTGCCCCACCTCATGGATGAGGTCCAATTCCAGAGCTTTCCATATTCCCATGGAAAGGAACTCAGCTACACCTCTGACCAGCTCAGAAGGGATCAGAATACATCTGAATATAATAGCAAAGTTGTGTTAATATTTGTTGTTGTTGTTGTTGTTAGTCGTGAAGTCGTGTCTGACCCATAGCGACCCCATGGACAACACTCCTCCAGGCGTTAATATTTCCTAGAACTCGAATTCATACTGCTGCATGCAACTTTTTTTTTTTGCTACAGGTGATGTCATGAGGTAAATATGGCATTTGAAGGAATCACTGGTGTAACAACTCTACTTTTCTCTAATGGCAGTAATACTGCTGCCTCATTTTCCTGCTCACGACCTCTGCATCACCTTTGAACACTGCCTGGCAAAAGTTCTTTGTGAGCTCACAGATCTGTTTAGGCAACTCATACTCAAGTTACATTGCCAATCACACTAATTAAAATTTACTGTTGTGTATAAAATAGGGGCTTTAAAAAAACATTTAAATGTTTTTTCCCCTAAAACTCCCTGTGGTGCTCAAAGAATATATTTATGATTGATAGCATAAAGCATGGAAGTTTATTACCTTTTAAGTACTGGCTAGTTCTGACACACTGTATAACTCTTTGTCTATACAGAGGATAATTGTCCTGCAGCATTTTAGCTGCCTCCAAGTTCACTGCATTATTCAAAACTGGATTAGACAGCAAAACCTGTGTAGAGATACATGTGAATACCAGTTTGAAAAGCTTTATTAAGCACTGGAATTAATTCCCCAAAATAAAACTGGTTGTACACATATAAATTCTGTCAGAAATACAATTCAAATACATTCTATGGACAAGTCATGGGGGAGGCAGGACACAATTCTAACTGTATGTATGCATATAGATTAAAATGCAGTGCAAGGAAATCAGTTTCATATTTTATACCTTAGCTGAAAAGCAGAGTAAAACACCCCAAGTTTGTATCAAACTGCTCTGTAATCTATCGAAAGCAACACACTTAACTTTCTCAGCTCCCGACTGAAACAGGTTTCCTTTTATTTTGATTTACATATTCTGACTGTGAAACTTGATGGCAAACCACTACCAGGTTAAAGTGAAGCAAACAGATGAATAAATATTCCCACCTCATTAGAAATAGAATTTAGGTTTGAAATCTATAGTGGCCAGAATGTAGAAAATAGGGAAACTAGCAGTGTGAGTCCATAGTGATACGTATAATACACTTCTCTCTCAGCACTGCCATGTCCCCCAAGAGCTACATGAGAAATTGTGTTTGAATCTGATGGAAGCTTCCAAAGCAGTTTGGAAGGTGGGAGGACAATTTCTTTAAAATATATATAAAAATCCAATCGGACTAGTTAAAGCTTTGCCTTCGGGACGCCATGGACAACACTCCTCCAGGCCTTCCTGTCCTACATCATCCCCCGGAGTCCACCTAAGCTCACACCGACTGCTTCAGTGACTCCACCTAGTCACCACATTCTCTGCCATCCCCTTCTTCTTTTGCCATCAATTGTTCCCAGCATTTGGTTCTTCTCTAGTGAGTCCTTCCTTCTCATTAGGTGGCCAAAGTATTTGAGTTTCATCTTCAGTATCTGGCCTTCTAAAGAGCAGTCAGGGTTGATCTTCTCTAGGATTGACCAGTTTGATCGCCTTGCAGTCCAAGGGACTCACAGGAGTCTCCTCCAGCACCACAATTCAAAGGCCTCACTTCTTCGGCACTCAGCCTTCCTTATGGTCCAACTCCCACAGCCATACATTGCAACTGGGAAAACCATAGCCTTCACTATAAGCACTGTTGTTGGCAGGGTTATGTCTCTGCTTGTTAGTATGCTGTCTAGATTTACCATAGCTTTCCTCCCATGGAGCAAGTGTCTTTTAATTTCTTGGCTGTAGTCCCCGTCTGTGGTGATCTTGGAGCCCAGGGAAAAAAAATCTGTCACTACCTCCATTTCTTCCCCATCTATTTGCCAGGAAGTGAGAGGACCGGATGCCATGATCTTAGTTTTCTTAATATTGAGTTTCAAGCTAACTTTTGTGCTCTCTGCCTTCACCCGCATCAAGAGGATCTTTAGTTCCTCTTCATTTTCTGCCAATAGAGTGCTATCGTCTGCATATCTGAGGTTGTTGATATTTCTCCCAGCAATCTTAATTCCAACTTGTGATTCATCTAGCCCCACCTTTCTCATGATGTGCTCTGCATATAAGTTAAATAGGCAGGGTGACAATATACAGCCTTGCCAAACTCCTTTCTCAATTTTGAACCAATCAGTGGTTCCATGTCCAGTTCACACTGTTGCTTCTTGACCCGCATACAGGTTTCTCAAAAGACAAATAAGATGGTCTGGTACTCCCATCTCTTTAAGAACTTGCCACAAGTTGTTGTGATCCACACAATCAAAGGCTTTAGCATAGTCAATGAAGCAGAAGTAGATGTTTTTCTGGAACTGCCTAGGTTTTTCCATGATCCAGCATATGCTGGCCATTAGATCTCTAGTTCCTCTGTCTCTGTGAAATCCTGCCTGTACTTCTGGTAGTTCTCAGTCCACATAATGCTGGAGCCTAGCTTGTAGGATTTTGAGTATAACTTTGCTAGCATGTGAAATGAGTGCAATGGTGCGGTAGTTTCAACATTCTTTGGCATTGCCCTTCTTTGGGATTGGAATGTAAACTGACCTTTTCCAATCCTGTGGCCACTGCTGAGTTTTCCAAATTTGCTGGCATATTGAGTGTAGCACTTTTACTGCATTGTCTTTTAAGATTTTGAATAGCTCAGCTGGAATACTGTCACCTCCACTAGCTTTCTTGTTGCTCAGACATCCTAAGGCCCATTTGATTTCACATTCCAGGATGTCTGGCTCGGAGTCAGTGACCACCCCATCGTGGTTATCAGGGATGTTGAGCTCTTTCTTGTATAGTTCTTCTGTGTAATCTTGCCACCTCTTTTTAATCTCTTCTGCCTCTGTTAGGTCCCTGCCATTTTGGTCCTTTATCATGCCTATCTTTGCATAAAACATTCCCTTCATATCTCCAATTTTCTTGAAGAGATCTCTGGTCCTCCCTATTCTATTGTTTTTTTCTACTTCTTTACACTGTTCATTTAAAAAGGCATTTTTATCTCTTCTAGCTATTATCTGGAATTCTGCCTTCAATTGGGTGTATCTTTCTCTTTCTCCCCTGGCTTTCGCTTCTCTTCTTTCCTCAGCTATTTGTAAAGCTTCCTCAGACAGCCATTTTGCTTTCTTGCATTTCTTTTTCTTTGGGATGGTTTTAGTTGCTACCTCTTGTACAATGTTGCGAACCTCCGTCCATAGTTCTTCAGGCACTCTGTCTATCAGATCTAATTCCTTAAATCTATTTGTCGCCTCTACTGCATATTCAACAGCAATATGATTTAGGTCATACCTGAGTGGCCTAATAGTTTTCCCTACTTTCCTCAACTTAAGCCTAAATTTTGCAACCGGAAGCTCATGATCTGAGCCACTGTCAGCTCCAATTTTTGTTTTTACTGACTGTATAGAGCTTCTCCATCTTTGGCTGCAGAGCACATAGTCAATCTGATTTCTGTGCTGACTGTCTGGTGATGTCCATGTGTAGAGTCGTCTCTTGGGTTGTTGGAAAAGAGTGTTTGCTATGACCATTGTCTTCTGTTGACAAAATTCTGCCAGCCTTTGCCCTGCTTCACTTTGTACTCCAAGGCCAAACTTGCCTGTTATTCCAGTTATCTTTTTGCTTCTTACTTTAGCAGTCCAATCCCCCATGATGATACGGACACCATTTTTTGGTGTTAATTCTAGAAGGTGTTGTAGGTCTTCATAGAACTGGTCAACTTCAGCCTCTTCAGCATCAGTGGTAGGGACATAGACTTGGACTACTGTGATATTGAATGGTTTGCCTTGGATTCGAACTGAGATCATTTTGTCATTTTGGAGACTGTATCCCAGTACTGCTTTTCCTACTCTTTTATTGACTTTGAAGGCTACTCCATTTCTTCTGAGGGATTCTTGCCCGCAGTAGTATACCTGATGGTCATCTGAATTAAATTCACCCATTCCTGTCCATTTTAGTTCACTGATTCCTAAGATGTCGATGTTCAGTCTTGTCATCTCATGTTTGACCATGTCCAGCTTGCCTTGATTCATAGATCTTACATTCCAGGTTCCTATGGAGTATATATCTTTACAGCATTGGACTCTCCTTTCACCACCAGATACATCTGCAAATGAGTGTCCTTTCGGCTTTGACCCAGTCACTTCATTTTTTCTGGTGCTACTAGTACTAGTCCTCTGCTCTTCCCCAGTAGCACATTGGACACCTTCCGACCTAAGGGGCTCATCCTCCAGCGTCATATCTTTTTGCCTTTTGGTACAGTTCATGGGGTTTTCATGGCAAAGATTCCAGAGCGGGTTGCCATTTTCTTCTCCAGTGGATCACATTTTGTCAGAGCTCTCTGCTACGACCTGTCCGTCTTGGGTGGCCCTGCATGGCAGAGCTCATAGCTTCATTGAGCTACACAAGCCCCTTCGCCACAAGAAGGCAGTGATCCATGAAGGGGTGGTCTTGCATATACAAAGCTAATTCTAATTCTCCACTTAATAAAAGACAAGTAAACATTTGTTCAGTTCTTTTTTACCTGGATACTAAGTAGGATACTCGTCATTGTTAACTTGCTGTTCCACATGGTGGGGTCATCTAGAAAGTCCACACAAGGTCTCCCAGACTGTGGATCAACTTTGATTGGAAAAAAAAGCATGTATCCAAAAAGCTGGTTTACACAATTATGGACTGATCAGATAATTCAAACTTGGTATAAGAATTCTACTGGAAAAGTTTGAATAAGGATTATTCTTTACAAGGAAACATTGAATAAATTCTAATTACTATATTTAGCTACATGAAAGATTATTCATTTTGAGCTACTTTTTAATTTCAAACCGCTTCCTGTAGATGTTAAATAATGCGAAGAAACTAACAAACAAATGTATGAAAACAATAAGCTGTATAATGAAAAAAGCATACAAAAGCAGAAACAGAAAAACAACCAAATTGCTGAAATTCATGCAAGGAATCCCTGCAAAAAGCAAAATGTCAGCAAGAAGCAAAATGAACATAATGGCTTCCCTAAAATCCAGTTTTAGAATCCTTAGAATCAGGTTTTTATATGAGATCTAAGAGCAAGCAGTTTTACTGGGTAGGTCTCATAGGAAGGGAATTCTACAAGATTGGATGTTGTACTACTGCTTCTATTAAGCATATACAAAACTTAGAACACAAATAGTCAAAGGTGTGCATGAGGGATCACATATGATAGAAGAGTGTCCTTATGGTATTCAGGTCAACAGAGTATTTCCTGGTCTATTCAGGGAACCAGTACTCCCAGATAAGGAGAATGCTTGTTCCCCTTATTTGCATGTTAAAAATCTGAAAACATAGTTCATCATATTATTCAGTACAGTGGCTTTGTTCATACAAAATGCTAAACAATGCCATGCAGTTACTTCACAGGATCATATCTCAACTTTTTTCCTGTGTTCATACATTCACATGGTAACTATTACATGGAGTAGTTTCCTTGTACTTTCATCTTTCCTCCAAGTGTGTGGCACATGGTGGGCATGTTGTGAGCGGAGCACATTTGACGTGCACATGGTGGGCATGTCGTGAGCGGAGCCGGCTGGTGCCGGAGGTCAGACTAGATGGCCCAGGAGGCCCCTTCTGACTCGCTCTGTTTCTATGTTTCTATATCCCATCAGCTCCTGTGTCCGTTAATCAATCCCAGGGTGCATTGTTCCTGTCTACCCTGCCTACCTCTGCCGCATTTGCCCACATACTCCACTGAGTATGCTCTCAGACATGTATTTTTCCTGTTGCTCTGCAGATCTGCAGTCAATTCATTAGAGCGGGACAATTGCTCTGCTGTCCCTGCTGCTGTCACAATTCCTGCCAATGCATAAGCACCCACCTGCACACCCACCCATACCTTTCCCCACTTGCTGCACATATGCCCAGTGCTCCCCCCTATGTGCAGGATTTCCACACACTGCAGGGGCTACCTTCCCTGGCAGCCAGGCATACAGAGGGCAGCAGCAAGGGCATGGTGCCAGGGACAGAAGGAGCTTACTTTCCCAAGATGCCAGTGCAGGCATCTGCCTGGGAAAGTGTCTCCAAAGGACAAGAGAACTGCAATTGTCCTCCAGCTAGAAGGGAGGAGACAGAATGGGAGACACAGACTGTTCAGGGCAATTGCCCTGATGGTGACACGCATGCACAGCCCATGTGTTCATCATGCAAAGGGCAGCCATCACATAAAGAGCCCCATTACTCCTAGCATGGGACAATCACAGGACTTAACTCATCTGAGGTACCAAACAAAGTCCAGCACAGCAACTTGGCAGGAGTGCCAGATATGGCTGCCCTGGTGGTTGCTGCTGCTGGATGCTCTCCCTCTCTTCCCTACTGTTGAGTGTCTCTCCACTGCCTCACTGTTCCACTGCTGCAATACCTCGTGATGCCCCATTGCCATGATGTCACACTGTGCTTGCAGTGGGGCATTGCAACAGTGGGGCATCATCGTGGCAAAGCAGCAGGGCACTGAAGAGGCACACTCCAGTGAGGAAGAAAGGGGATGCAAAGACAGCTAATCAGTGCACTGCTGCTAATAACTCAGCAACTGCTGCGCAGAACAGGCCAGTGGAAAATGGAGGCTGAAGCATCTGCTGCCACTACTCTTGCCACCAAACTTGCTGGCAGAAACATAGAAACCAAGGAAAAACATTGTAACTGGATTCACCCATAACAACCAGCAATGGTGAAGCATGGAAACCTTTCAACAAACCATTGATTTTCCATGGAGCTTCATAGAATCCAAGCATGCCATGCTGCACTGTGGATGCTGAATTCACACTTAATGACAAGCTATGCTTGCACCATTTCCAGCATGGCTTGTTATTATGCGCGAATACAGCCACTGCATATCATCCTCGAATCAGGTAATTTCATTTCTTCTTCTGTATCCTTAAATTGAAAGTGAGATGCCTAATGTGCAGCAGTTGAAAAACACTCTGGCTGAAGTATTTATGGTTATCTAGGTGTAAAACTGGGTCAGTGAGGACACTTAACCTCTGCTGCTGTTCAACCACCATAGGAGGGACCATTGATAAAATCTTTACCATTGGGATGGAAGGGAATAGTGATGAAATTGATGCATGGAGGAATGTTGTTGTAACCTTCAGTGTAGTTCATTGATATTTGGAGTACAGCACCTAAAATGGGAAAGTATATATATTTAAGTTAGTGATATATTAGCACATACATAAACACAAAAATTTGTGCATTTATGGGGAAGTCCCATAAATGTTGGATTATGTTGTCCTCCAAGGTCTCTTCCCAGTTTTTCAGACTCCTTTGCATCTTTTAAGAGCAAGAAAAACTTGGAATTAGATTTGAAATTGCAACAAATCAGAACAAAAACTTTGCAAAATGATGAAAATCTGTTATACTGCAGCTATACCACAGAGCCATCTTGTGCTTGCTTGATAGACTAAATAGAAAGGCAAATCCTGGAAAAGACCTCAGGTAAAGCCTCCATACAGCAGCAGATTAAGCTCCTCGTGGTAGAGAAGCCAATTTTGAACACAGATTTCAAGGTTTTTTTAAATTAACAACCTTCTCAATATTTATTGACACTTCTGTGTTGAGTTGCTGCTTTGCAATGTACAAAGCAAGGACCCAAAATTCCATAGTGTTAAGAGAGAGGCTCCCCACTCCCTTCATGATTTTTTACCCTTCCATCACCTGCTATGTTTAACAGGATTTCCACTGTGCAACCAAAGAGGCAAAGGATGGAGGTAGATCACAAAACCAGAAGGGAAAAAAGCTGGATACACTGGATATAACCCAAATATGTTTTTGGTTTTTTAAAAATTATGGTTGTTCTGAAATAGCAAGTACCGAAGCAGATTACAGTTCCTTATGTTGGCACTTCTGATTTTGAAAACATGCAGAGCTGTCAATAAATGTGCAGACATTTCAAAACATTTCAGTAGGCAATAGGTTGTGATGGTGGGAATGCTGCACCAGGGTTCTGGGAGATCCCAGTCCTAGTCCCTCCTTTGCCATGAAGCTCACTTTTGACCAATTTTTCACTCTCAGCCTAACCTACCTCACAGGGTTCATGTAAGGGTTAGGGTGCAGGAGAACCTCACAAGAGGAAAAAAGGTGGGATATAAATGCAATGTTGCTGTTGTTATTGGGATCTGCTCCCTCCCCCAATATTTCCATCTAGCACATGAAACTTTCCAACACAGTGATATTTCATCTGAAAGTTAAGACAAAACTTGCAATCAAATTCCAACAGCTGCAGCTATTTCCACATAACTAGAATACATGGGTTCTACCTTCTATAGGGCTGCACTCCCTGAATGTTCCTCCACCTAATCTGTGGGGATCACATCCTCATTCTTCCCACTGCACCACAATTTGTTCCACTCCAAAGGATCCCCTAATTCTCTGTGTAGCTTTTTCAAGAGGCTGGAGTGACTGCCAAGGAAAGGAAAGGGATGGGAAGGCCCACTTCTTCAGTACCATATCCAAGTTGTGGGCTACCCGAGTTCAGTACCATAAGAATGTCTATATTAGTACAAACCTGAGTTGAAAGTGTGCACAGTAATGAGCATGTTGCTTTTGTTTCTAGATAGATATTGCCATTTAAGAAAATACAGACCTTGCAGAGCATGGTAGAACAGAAACTGCCAGGATCACCTGGTTGCAACTTTCACTCCCATTCTGCTTGGCCACACTGTGTTAGGAACTGGTCAGAAATGCAGGTTGCATACCTGTAACTGTAGTTCTTCAAGTGGTCATTTATCCATTCACACATTTGGGTGCTGAGCCTGCGCAGTGCCTCATTCAGGAAAGTTTCTCTAACTTAGCCTAGACCAGGGGTGTCCAACCTTTTGGCTTCTCTGGGCCACATTAGAAGAAGAAAAATTGTCTTGTGATATCTGCCACTACAGATAAGCAAAAATGTCCTTACATAATAATCCTAGTTATGTGATGCCCCATTCAGAGAGTCTTTTAAAATCATCAAGCAGAAAAGAGGGCAACATAAAACTAGTGGGATATTTGACATCGTATCTGAGAAACTAATGCATCAATATCTGGTTCGATGGAAGTAGGTGAAATTCTCAGTGAGTTTTCAAGGTGCTCATCAGATATTTTGGTTCTAATTTTACTCTTAGTTGCTCACAAATGTAGGTGCTGCCACCTGGCCTGGATGAAAGTAGCTCAAGGACAGCCATGGCGCCCAGTCTCCCTGCTGCCTGTGGGAATGAGGCAGATGAAGGACGGGAGGGGAGAGATGTCTCGGATGCTTCATGAGCCTCCTGAAGACCTGGACCCAAGGGCCCATCGTCACAGCCACAGACTGGACCAATTAGGTGCTCAGAGTGCAAATGCAGGTGGACCCATTTTCACAGCACCCTGCCTTCCAGAGACGGGCCCCAAGGGGGTCATAAGTAAAGCTTTGGGTGAAGGGAGGCAGAGAGGGGTCAACGCTTCTCCTTGTGTATACTCAGAGACTTGTGAATGCTTACATTATCTGTGTAGAATAAAACTCTTACAAGAAGTGCTAGAATGACTGTCTTGCTTGGGAGGAGATGCCCAGCTCATGACATCAGGTTCTTTGGGTTAGGTAGCCCTTTGAGTGGGCCCCCAGCCTGCCAGAGAAGCATCGGTAGTTACAGTCATTGATGGTCCATTGGTTGGAATGGTAGTCCTTTGCAAAGGTTGGGTTCGAGAGTCCCCCAAGCAAAACTTGGTGGAGCAAGCAGTTTCCTCAGCAAGTCGAGTTTTGGAGAGAACTGAGAAAATGGTGAGAACCCGCTGCTTATATAGGGGAAGGGAGGGGGCAGGCTCTCACAGAAAGTTCTAGGCTAAGCTAGAGAAATCTTCCTGAACGAGGCACTGCACAGGCATAGTACCCCTATGTGTGATGCCCAGATATCACAACGAAGAAAAACTGGGCCCAACTGCATCCTGGCTCCCTTGGTTCTAGCCTCTTAGCAAAGTGACTTGAAGAACTAGATGGCTCAGCCATTGTCTGAGTTATATATTCTAGGTTTTTGCCATTACTCTCAATACTAGAATAAGTATTTTTGGGTACTCCTGCATTATCAAAAGGCATAAGTAATAACATATTCTTGATTTTTATTTTTATTTTTATAAAAGACAGCCTGTTGGACTGAAATGTATATTGAGGGTCAATAAACTGAGCCTCAGTTCAGATAAGACGGAAGTCCTGTTGGTGGGCGGTTCAGGTTTTCAGGTAAGTGATTTTCACTTTGTCCTGGATGGGGTAGCATTTTTTAAAAAGTTTGAGGACCCCTGTTATATGCCCTCGTGCCCCTTAAGCTCTGCGGGAGAGGACCTGCTCCAGGAACCCTCACTGAAGGAGGTAAAAAGGTCATCTACTCAGAGTCGGACCTTCTCTGCAGTGGCGCCTAGATTGTGGAATGCGCTCCCCAGAGAAGTTTGCCTGGCGCCGAGCCTATACTCTTTGTGGCACCAGGTCAAAACCTTTTTATTTAAGTTATTTTTTTTAAAAAAGTATTCTAATGGCTTTAACAGTTATTTTTGATTTGATTTATTTTGATTGGTTATATGTTGTTTTATTATATTGTGATACAGATCGTTTTATTGGACTTTGATTTTAATTGTTGCAGGCTGTCCTGAGATGTTATACATAAAGGACAGCATATAAAGTTTGAAATAAATAAATAAATAAATTAAATATTCACGTTTCCCTTCTAAACTAACAAGTAAAGTACAGTCCCTCAACATATTTCAAGGTGACTGGAGACAAAACACTATATACTGTGGCGCAGGGGTAGGCAACTTGTGGCCCACAAGATGTTTTGCCCTACAGTTCCCATTTTTCCTTATTATTGGTTGTTCTAACTGGGACTAGTAAGAGCTGAAAGCCAATTCATCTGGAGAGTCATATGTTGCCCATCCCTGTTCTGCAAAAGTGCTATATAGAAAGTAAGCTTTACAGCACATTAAAATATTGCATTCATAATTGTTCTATCAATTTGTACCATGGGATTCCTAGAAAACAAGATACCTACATTCCCATAGGGAATCCTTCAATCCTTCAATTTCAGCTACCCATTTCATCAAGTTGTCTGTCACAGGAGTAATAGAAATGCCCTAAGGAAAGAAAACATTTGACTTAACTAATGTATTTCTCCCTACTGGGAAAATGGCTTCATTCAGAACCCTTTTTTTTTCCTTTTTTCATGGGTGAGAGAAAACTGTGTTCATTCCTCTAATACCCATTCCTGAGGAACTGTGGTTTAAACCAGGTTTTCCCTACCTAGTGCCCTCCAGACATTTGGATGACCATAATCTGGGATAAGCAATGTATGACATTCCAAATGTGTTAGCCTGCAGCTACTGTCAGCCCTAGCCAGCAACCAATAGTAAGGGATCATGGGTGCTATAAGTCAAAATATTTAGTGGGCCACAAGTTGCTGACCCCTGTCATAAGTTCTGACTATTGGCTATGCTAGCTAAGGCTTACTGGAGTTGTAGACCAAAGCATCTGAAGGATGCCAAATTGAGGAAGGATGGTTTAAACTGCAGTTAGTGAGAATAAACCAAGTTCTGAAGCCACAATTTGGGCACAGAAAAGCAAAAGGAGGCTGGGGAGTGCAAGCTCAAGCCTCTGTTCATGCAGTGAAAAACTATAGCTTTTTAAGTGTGAACCAGACCAATAAGTGTATTCGAAGTGTATTTGAATTAAAGTATGTTTTCATTTTATATAGAAATTAACATATGAAGAATATATATCCTGTTCCTAAGAAACAGGACTTGGTTCAATGATACCTACTTTCTTATTAATAGGTTTAGGATTGTATCCTTAATTTGTCATGACATTTTGTCTTATACAAACAAAAAATCAGGTCAACAATTCATAAAATTAGATATTATTTCTAGATTTAGGATACAGTCCTATAGACTACATTCTTGTTGCTCAGAAGTCACTAAACTTGAAGGATTCCAGGATTCCTATGCCCTGCCAACAGGATGGGAGGTACAGCAGAAGTGATCCTTGCCTCCCCATCCTCTACTTTTTAAGTGTCTCATTAGACAGGCGTTTCCACCAATCTAGTGAAGACTCTTCAAAGAGGAAACGAAAGAGGCCACTCAGAGTAAGTCATGATGGGGCCCTTCTGTCTCCTCCCCTCCCTGCCCACTGGAACATCCCCTTTTCCCTGTGTTTGAGATCAATGTTCTGAACTGAGGTGAATGGTGTGGTTCTCTTTTTGCTGGTTCTGACAGGTCAGGAACATGGAGCCAAATCTCTATCTATCCTTTCTGAGGTTGCAACACTGCTTCCAACCTGGAAAGGGTTTTCTGAGTCTTCCTATGGTTCTTGGGATGTTTGCCCAGAACTATAGGATTGTTCTCTTAAATGATTTTATAGGACATCCAATCGTATATAAAACAAGTGTTTACAATAACTTCAAAGACACATATTGCGCTTGTTGCTTTGCTTCCTATTAATAAAGAGATCAAATCATGAATTCTTCACTAAGCGTAGTCTTTCCATGGTCAGATGTTTTGTGTGTTTTTAAATAACATACATATTTTATTTAACAACTTATAAAATAATTCTTTCAAACAATTCAGATACTTCATTTATTCTGATCCTTATTTATCTTGACTCCAAATTGTTTCAAAGGTCTCCAAAAATTCTTACACCACTGAGTGGGATCTTAGTCTGGCATTCTCATCTTCCCAGAAGCAATTAAAGGGGAAAAGTAGATAATTCCATAAACTGGTTATGTAATGAAGACCAACCCTACATTGATAAATAGCATACTGTGCATACAGTCTTGTGCTATACTTTCAACAACAATGTAAAGCAGGCTGGATTTGATTTAAATCAAATCCATTTAAATCATGATTTAAATCACAAGTCAGTAAGACTAAATCTAAAACATGGTTTCTTACATAATTTGCACACATGCCTGCCTTACCCGTAGGTAGAAGAAAGTCATTAAAATATTCCCAAAGTGGGTTTCTTTTACAGCCTGCTGCCATTATAGGTTTCTCCTTCAGGGAGAGAGTAATATGATAAACCTCAAGCTATACAGAAACAGATCCAAGGACTTGTGAAGTATTATGTTCTGTTCTGTTTTTACTGCTTGCCCCTCCCTCCTCACACTTAGATTCTTGTGCTGATCTATTCCACTCTCAACAATCTTCTATTCATTGGACTTTTCTGAAACTTAGCACTTAAGAGAAAGGTGCTGATTCTGTGTTACATAGATTTGCAAAGGAACTATGGGATTACGGTATTTTTTCTCAAGTCTGTATTTTATAACATTTTTGCTGTGAAGAAGAGAAATGTGATCTCTCCAGACACAAATTTACTGTTTTGAGAATTGTAAAACCAAGAATCTTACAGAAACCTCTGGAAGGGCATGACAAAACTGCAACCCAAAACCCACTTATTTATCACAAAGTGCCAACACTACAATCAAATCTGAAAACTAGGATTTTAGTTTAAAAAAAAATAGCTCACAGCCAGTCCACGCAAATATATATATATCCTTGGTAGGGCACTGACCAGCCATGTGAAAGTTTGGATGAGTCGTGCCTAATGAGTCGTGGCTCGTGATATTTATTTATTTATTTATTTAAAACATTTCTATGCCGCCCCCATCGCAACAAAGCCTCAGGACAGCTCAGAAACAATATATATATATTAAAAAAACATTTAAATCCCCCCCGGTGCATTCTCAGCTAATTTAAAATCCTAATAAATACAATAATTTAGCAATTAAAATAAGTTTTAAATAAAAAGGTCTTAGCCTGGCACTGAAAAACAAATAATGACGGCACCAGGCGGACCGCTCTGGGGAGCGCATTCCATAGATGGGGCGCCACTGCAGAGAAAGCCCTCCTCCGGGTACTCACCCTCCTAATATCATTCACAGAGGGTTCCCGGAGAAGGGCATCCGTTGCTGATCTCAAGGGGCGGGAGGGCATATATGGGCGCAAGCGTTCCTTTAGATATCCAGGTCCCAAACCATTTAGGGCTGTATAGGTCATAACCAACACCTTGAATTGGGCCCGGACTTCAATTGGGAGCCAGTGGAGCTGACGGAGAACTGGGGTTATATGAGAACAACGCCCAGTCCCCGTCAGCAAACTGGCAGCTCTATTCTGCACCAATTGAAGTATCCGGACCGTCTTCAAGGGTAGCCCCACGTAGAGCGCGTTACAGAAATCTAATCGGGAAGTTACCAGCGCGTGTGTCACTGTCGCCAGGCAATCGTTCTCAAGGAAGGGACGCAGCTGATGTATCAGCCGAAGCTGAAGGAAGGTGCTCCTCGCCACCACCGTCACCTGAGCTTCTAGAGACAGCTCAGGGTCAAGGAGCACTCCCAAGCTGCGAACCCTGTCCCTCAGAGGGATTGCAACCCCATTTAGGACAAGGCCTAAGTCCCCGATCCCGAGGCCCGAACCACCCACCAACAGGACCTCCGTCTTGTCTGGATTGAGCTTCAGTTTATTGGCCCTCATCCAGCCCAATACCTCAGCCAGGCACTGGTTCAGCACAGCCACTGCCTCACTTGGATTGGTGGAAAATGAGAGGTAGAGCTGGGTATCATCAGTGTACTGATGATTCCACAGCCCACACCTCCTGATGACCTCTCCCAGCGGTTTCATGTAGATGTTAAATAGCAAAGGGGACAAATGGACCCCTGCGGAACTCCATGGCATAACTGCCATGGCGCAGAGCCATAGTCCCCCAGCACCACCTTCTGAAATTGGCCGTTGAGATAGGAGCGGAACCACCACCACGTGGTGCCTCCAACTCCCTATCCCGCTAGCCTATTCAGAAGGATACCATGGTCGATGGTATCGAAAGCTGCTGAGAGGTCCAGGAGAACTAACAGGGATGCACTCCCCCTGTCTCTCTCCCTGCACAGGTCATCGTACAGGGTGACCGAGGCAGATTCAGTGCCATACCCGGGTCTGAAGCTGGACTGAAATGGGTCCAGATAATCAGTTTCATCCAAGAGTGCTTGGAGTTGTCCCGCCACCACCCGCTCTAGCACCTTGCCCAGAAACGGGATGTTGGCCACCGGTCTATAATTGGCAGCCACGTCTGGATCCTGGGATGCCTTCTTTAGGACTGGCCGGACTACCGCCTCCTTTAAAGGGGCAGGTACCCGGCCATCTCTTAAAGAGGCGTTGACCACCTCCAGGATCCAGGTCCCAATCCCACCCTTGACTTTCTTAAGTAGCCAAGATGGGCATGGGTCTAGTAAGCAAGTGGTAGGACATACTTGTCCAAGCACCTTGTCCACATCATCAGGCCACAACAACTGAAATTCATCCCTTAATTGAGGACTCAACGGCGTCGATGGCGTCTCCCCAGTAGAATCTGGTTCAATAGCAGAGTCAAGCTCGTGGCGAATCTGAGCGATTTTCTCCCTGAAATGCTTGGCAAAGTCGTCACAATGGGCCTTTGAGGGTGGCACAAGATCTTTCTTCGGGCCCGGATGTATCAGCCCCTGCACCACCTGAAAGAACTCTGCCGGACGGCATTGTGAGGAGGCAATGGAAATGGAGAAGAATTTCTTCTTCGCCATCCTCACTGCCACAGCATAGGCCCAATAATGGGCTCTTAAGTGTGTTTGGTCAGAATCACCCCGTGATCTCTTCCACCTACTCTCTAGACATCTCCCAACCTGCTTCATCACCTGTAGTTCAGGTGTATACCAAGGGGATGTACGGGCTCTGCCAGGTGGGAGAGGATGCTTGGGAGCGATCATGTCAATAGCCCTGGTCATCTCCTCATTCCACAGTTCAACCAGGGCATCGACAGGATCACCAGCCTTGTCAACCAGAAAATCCCCCAGAGCTTCCAGGAATCCATCAGGATCCATCCGGCTCCGGGGGTGGACCAATACAATTGGATCCGCACCCTTGCAGAGGGAAAGGCCACTCTCGAGCTCAAACCTTATGAGGAAGTGATCTGACCATGACAAGGGTGTCAAGCTCAAATTCCTCACTCTCAGATCACCCTGTTTCTGCCCCATCGAGAAAACCAGGTCCAGAGTGTGTCCACGTTCATGGGTCAGGCCAATGATGTGCTGAGACAGCTCCATGGTTGCCATGGAGGCCGTGAAGTCCTGAGCCGCCCTGGTTAGAACCGTCTCGGCATGGAGATTGAAGTCTCCCCAGGACCAACATCCTGGGAGTCTTCAACACCAAGTCCGAGACGATCTCCGTCAGCTCAGGCAGGGAGTCTGTTGGGCAGAAGGGTGCACAGTACACCAACAGAATCCCCAATCTGTCTCGGTCGCCCAACACCAAGTGGAGACACTCCAGCCCTGGCCTCGAGAGGACAGGAAGTCCCACTAGGGAAATAGAAGCTCGATAAACCAGAGCGACCCCCACTCCCCTCCCCTCCAGGCGTGGTCAGTGCTGGACCAGGTATCCGGGCGGGCACAATTGTGAGAGGGAAACATCCCCCCCCCCACCCAGGTCTCTGTGATGCACGTCAGGTCGGCCCTCTCATCCATGATCAAATCATGGATGAGTGTTGCCTTATTTTGGACCAACCTGGCATTAAGCAGCAGCACCGACAGGCCTGGAGGGCAGTTGACAAGTCTACCTGGAACCCGCTGGCTGGGGGAATAACCAGAAAGAGGGACAGGCGTTAAGCACCTGTCCCTCCTTTTTCTTTGCTGACCCGTTATACCCCTACCGCCATAAAGCCCATTGCGCATCATCACCCCAATGGTGGTAGCCCCGCGCTCCCCAGGGAACATCATAATAAGCACGAGATGCACCGATATCATCTCCTGGCGCCGCTACTCCTTTCCGATCCTGTGCATGGCTCCTATGTGGGCTGTTATCCGATGCATGGCTACTGGGGCGATGCTGGGGTGACTTGGTTCACATGCCAACAAAGAGGGTTTTGTGTGCCTGCTGTGGCACGTGTACCATAGGTTCACCACCACTGCCCTATCCCTATGCTGGTGCACTCCCCTAACCCTAATATAGGGCTAAAGTTCCATTGAAAAGGGGGCGATTTTGAAAAAGCCTTCCTTCAGGAGCTTTTTCTGCACTGCTCAAGGTTTATGCCCCTTCTAAACGCTATCCACCCATCAAAATTATGCCAGGGCACCTCGTTTTCCTAACCTTAACCCTACCCTGGTGCACTCCCGTAACCCTAATATAGGGCTAAAGTTCCATTGAAAAGGGGGCAATTTTGAAAAAGCCTTCCTTGAGGAGCTTTTTCTGCACAGCTCATAATTTCTGCCCCTTCTAAACACATTCTAACCATCAAAATTATACCAGGATACCTCATTTTTCTAACCCTAACCCAGTGATGGTGAACCTTTTAGTCACCGAGTGCCCAAACTGCAACCCAAAACCCACTTATTTATTGCAAAGTGTCAACACTGCAATAAAACCTAAAAACTGAGGTTTTAGTTTAGAAAAAATAACTCCTGGCCAGTCCAAGAAAAAAAAAATCCTTGGCAGCACACTGACCGATCATGCGAAAGCTTGGATGAGTCATGGCTCGTGACGTCATCAACTGGTGCCGCTACTCCTTTCCAAGCATGCGCATGGCCCCTATGTGGCGATAAGTTGGAGGAGAATGATGTAAGCTGCCTTGAGCCCTTTGTAGCAAAAAGGCAGGATATAAATCCAAAATAAATAAAAATAAATAAATATGTGTGCTGTTATCCAATGCTCAGCTGCTGGGGTGACTTGGCTCGCATGCTGACAGAGAGGGCTCTGCGTGCATGCTGTGACACACGTGCTACAGGTTCACCACCACTGTCCTAGGGGTTACAAATATCCAAAGTCATGAACAGCCCATACTTATGAACTACCTGCTACACAGCCTATTAATTTAAAAATTAATATTAAAGACCTACTGTGGAAATCACTACAGAGAGAGCGGAAATGAAAAGGGAGAAAGGGAAGACCTCCAAAGCATGCCTTCTTGCCTCACCCATGCAGAGAGGAAAATCCTTGTGGCATTTCCTTAGTACAAAGAGGAGGCGGGAAATAACATAACAATGTAATCAATGAAGAAGGGGAACTCTGCTGTATCAGACCAAGGTCTGAGAGAAAGAAGCAATCCAGTACACGTACACTCAGCTGTATTAGGGTTTAAGGGTTGGGGTAGAGATATTTGCAGTTTTTCCACTTTTGTGGTGGTCCTGTGCCCCTAACCCCCAAGAATGTGGAGGGCTGACTGTATTTCTTAATTGTTTTATGTGCATAGAAAGGTAAAATATATATGTATACTAAGACAAATATTTGGCTCACTCATGCTAAATATGACCCATACACACACATTCTGATTTATATACAAACGTGATTTAAAGAAATTCTCAGGAACAAAACTTGTTTGTAACCTGGAAACTTCCAGTTTGTTGGAGATCAACTCCTGCTGTCCTGTGTTAACATTGCCAATGGTAAAGGAATGCTGGGAGTTGTCATCTAAAACTTCTGGAGGGCACCATGTTAGAGAAAGCTATTGTAAAGGCTGCACCTGCAAGGTTTCTGCCTGCCATGAAGCTTTTAAAAGTGGTATTGCCAACTTTATTGTCAGGAAGAGGAAAGAAGTGCTGTATATTACCCTAAGCACTAGCAGGGCAGCTTTAAAGTCCCTGTAAACTAGATTTTGGCAATTGCAGATACATGAGGTTTTATTTCAGGAAATTATTTATTTCAGGAAATTTCAGGAAATACTAGGTCTTATCTCAGAAAATAAAGGTGGGGGACAGTTGGAAACTTTTTCAGTATTTGTTTACAAAAGTATTAATAAATGATCACCCTTACTTTTAAAGAATGGTAATACTATGCTTCTCTCATTTCTATGTGAAAAATTATGATTTTTTCTACTCTATCTAGCTGGAGGCATTTCACAGCATCCCATCCCCAAACAAAACATGTTAATTCCAATTTCTAGATTTATGTAACATAGAAAACATGCCAAGTGGAGGAATCCAAATATACTCACAAAGATGTTGGCTTCTGTAAACTCCATGTATTCTCTTTCAAGTAGTAAGTAAGCTCTTGAGTGATTCATAATTGCAGGAGTTACCTTGTTGATGAACCTTCACAGAGAATGCAGAAGAACCTTCATTTTTCTTCATCAACAGAAAGAGCTATTTGTCCTAAAGGATGTAGAAATAAAGATATTTTAAATAAAGATCTTCCATGAGAGGTTGTTGAGGCCCCATCGGTGCGGGTGTTCAAGGATAGGTTGGACGTCCACATGGTGGGCATGTCGTGAGCGGAGCCGGCTGGTGCCGGAGGTCAGACTAGATGGCCCGGGAGACCCCTTCTGACTCGCTCTGTTTCTATGTTTCTATATAGGAATTTTCTTAAGACTGGTAAACTGAACTTGTAAGATGACTGTGCAATAACAAATAGGAAGTTACAGATCCTGAAGCAGAGACTCTGAAACAGCAAACTACATTCTCTAGTTTGTTATGTAGTTATATTTGAAGAAAGGCAGACAACAAAGAGAAAACAGGTCAGGTTTGATTCATTGGTTATGGAGATTTATCTGGGGTGTGTGTGTGTGTGTGTGTGTGTGTAGAGAGAGAGCAAGCGAGCAGTTAAAGGCCTAATACCTGCAAAAAGAATGTGGAAAAGCAGACAAAGAACTAAGCCCCGCTCTGTGTATAAGATGTTACCTAGCAACAGCAGCTTTTTTTTTTTTTTTGGCCTCTTAAAGGTACAACCAGGTAGTTTAATCCTTGCTTTCAACCAATCAGCATGGATTTTTGTGATAAGAGAAAAATATCCAAAACAATGGGAAAACACAAGAGGGTTTTGAGTAGAAGATGTTTATAAATGAAATGTAAGAAAAACCTCATGGCTAAGCAGCCCGGAGCTGCTGAAGACAGTGTGAAAATTGCATAAGACCAAGTAGATACTTTGGGATCCAGTGATTCTTAATTGGGGAAATATGTGGTTTCCTATTAATTTCTCAACCTATGTAGGATTTATGAGGAAGCCTTAATATTTCTAGTGTTCAGAACTTTCTGAGTTGGAAAGGTTCGGGATTACTGCTACAACTGTGTGTGTGAGAGAGAGAGACAGAGACAAATGTATTGCAGGGTCCTCTAGCCATTGCTGTCTTGTGGGTAACATCTCCTGGTTATTGCTTCAGGATCACTAAGTTTGTGGAACTTTGAATAAACATGCTACATGTAAAGATTCATAATGAGATCAGTTATGTAAACAACATATTTATTTTTTAAAGCTTTTATAGACATATAAAAGTTTTAAATATGACTAAATGTGTGTTTAATTTGCATGCAATTATCCTCTACTTCATTAATTTAATATATACATTGTTTCCTACCACAAAAACATAATCTCAAAAGCTGTCTACACTAGGAGGCTGAGAATGAAGCTTAAATTTTTGCAAATACACATGGCTGACAGGTCCTTACTAAAATGTCAAATGCTAGTGGTGGAGCATTGAGTCAATGGAGTTGCTAGACTATTCAACCCATTCTCCTTCCAATGCTTTTACTCACATTTGCTCTGGAATCAGATTAGAGTCTTGCTGATGTTGGAGTTGCCCTAATAAAAGGTATAAGTTTTATGTCTTGCCTGTTTCCCTTCACCCCCTCCCAATCTGCAGGGTTTTTCCATTCAGATTCCTTCTAAAGGAAAAGGAAACAAGCCCCATGATATGCAATTATTCACCCACTGGCAAATTGCTGTCAAATACAGAGCTCAGCTGGCAGGGAGATGATACCATGCAACTAGTTTGAATATTCATATACTGGGCCAGCTTGCCATTGCCTTAAAGGAATTTTCTACCTCTGACAGTAAAAAGCAAACATTGAAACCTGTTAAATTTTGTAACTTCTGATGGTTTTATTTGTTATCTGTTACTCAAGCTGTCAATGCATCATGTTTTCCTGATGTCTTTGATGATTTTTCGATGTTTATATTGTTCTTCACATCACCCATTCAAGGTCTCCTTCCCCTTCCATGCAAAGCATATGTGACCCCAACTCCATACAACTCCAGACCCCAACTCTATTTTTATTGTATTAATCTGTTGTAAACCATCCCAAGATGTCTGTGAAGGGACAGTATAGAAAGGTTTTAAATAAGTAAATAAGTAAATAAAACACTCTGTACCTTACCTCTTTCCTCATAGCCAGGCTTATACTGATTTTCCTTCAGTGCTGTAGTTATTTAGGAATTTCTGTTTGTTGTAAATAAACTGTTGAGTGCTTGATTGTACACTTCCACTGAATCCAGGTATTCATTCCAAGCAGGTCTGGAATCCCAACACAATAACAGATGGAGGAGCTGATGGATTAGTACCAGTACATCAAACCAGTTTTGGTACCTTGGACCATGTAAAGCTAGTTTCCAGGCAAGGAAACTTAGAAGAACGTACACATAAGCACAGCAACTTTAATGAAAATTCTATATAATGTACAAATGTGGAGGGGACTAAACGTTTACTTCCATGTTTATATTCCCTGCCCTCACTTTCACTCACCAATGCCTCCTTTTTGCACTGAGTAAATGCCAGATGAATTTCCTTCTCTGGATAGGTGAGGCAAGAAGGCATGCTTTGGAGAACCTCCCTCTCTCCCTTTTTATTTATTTATTTATTTATTTATTTTTCGATTTATATCCTGCCTTTTCCCTACAAAGGGCTCAAGGCAGCTTACACCATTCTCCTCCTCCATCTTACCCCACAACAACAACCCTGTGAGAGTCTGTGACTGGCCCAAAGTCACCCAGTTGGCTCCATGGCTGAGTGGGGACTAGAACCCAGATCCCCTGAGTCCCAGTCCCATGCTCTTAACCACTACACCACACTGGCTTTTCAGTTCCTCTCTTCCTGATGATGATGATTTTCCACAGTAGGCTGCAAAAATCCAAAAAATTCAAGCATTTGTGCCTACAAGCCATTTGTTTTTAACTCAGACTTTTAATTTAATAGGCTTTATGGCAGTTCATTCCTAAGTATGGATGTTTGTAACTAAGACATTCATAACCAGGCAATATTTGCACAAAAAATGTTTGCAGCATCACATATTTTCTTCTTTAAAAGTGTTTTTGCAGATGAAACATTAGTACATAATATGGGTGCTTCATTTCCACATGGCTATGATCAAATCTAGATGCATTTCCAGAAAGGGAAAGGATCACAATTCTCAGGCTAAATCATCTACCACCTACATTCTGCCTGTTACATACGTCAAGAAGAGCTATGTACAGATTTCAACTATGCAATAGATAGGGGGCAGCCAACCATTGTACATGTTGATATTACTGCAGTGCCTAAAAACACCATGTTGTAACAAGGCTTAAGCAAACCGAGTCCATCTAGGACTACCTGTGTAATTCATTTTTTGGCAGATACTCCACCTGTATCAGCCTGCTTCCAGAGATCTAGTCTTACTTTATTCTTATAGCTTCTTGATTCATTTCATATCAGGGATAAGTTTCTGCATGGTATTCCCTAGCAGAGAATACTAATCTACTAGTAAAAAAACAAGGATACAGAGAAGAAATGAAAATTTCTGGATGCTTTTTCTCAGAGGTTCACAACCTGCAGCCCATGGGCCACATGTGGTTCCCAAACTCTTTCTGGGCGGTCCTCCAACCTGCTTGCTTACTGCTATCACCCTCAAGGCACTTTCCCTCAGACCCATACTATTCTTCCTGCCTCGAACAGCACGATCTACTGCTGTTTTTCATGTCCCTTTTTACATAGAAAAATAGAAAAAGATACAGAGCAAGTCAAAAGGAGCCTCCCGGGCCATCCAGTCTGATTCCCTGGCTCCAGCCAGCTCTGCTCATGACTTGCCTACCATGTGCATGTCCAGCCTATCCTTCAACATTCTCACCAATGGAGCTTCCCATTGAAACCCATTCCATACCCTAGGGCAGTGATGGCTAACCTACCACAATGGGCACACAGAGCCCTCTCTGTTGGCACACAAGCCAAGTCGCCCCACCATCACCCCAGCCATGCACATATTGTGAAAAAGTAATGGCACCAGGTGACATCACTCATTAGCCACGACTCACCACAAGAGGCCAGGTGGCCAGGTGGCCTGTCCCCCCTTTCCCTTCCTGTCCTTTCTAAATAGGCCATACCCCTCTATGTTTACATTCCAATCCTGCCATTCATCCAACCAAGTTTCCATGATCTCCACCAGGTCATACGCTCCCAGGAGATCCTCAAGCTCTTCCTGCTTGTTTCCCATGTTCCTAGCATTAGTATACATGCATCTCAGCTCCTTCCGATGACCACCTGTCTTCATGTCCCCTGGCCTCCTCCTTCCTCCCTTCTTCCCTGGTACTGGAACCCTCTATGTGTCAGCTGTGCCGGGGGGAACAGAGATCAATTACAGGGGAGGGGCCACAGCAGAGCCTTCTCATGCTGCACTGAACTAAAATTTGAGAAAGACGGGGATTGACAATTCAGTGTTGAAAGACACATCAAAGCACTGAACCTATTGCAGGTGGTATTGCCATAAGCATGGAAAGCAAATAAGAATGTTTCAGAATCCATTTAAAGTAGCACAACTAAGTAACTTTTTTCAGATGCAGTTGATTTGCAAACCAGTGATCATCTCAGAGACAGTTACAAAGAAAATAGTCTGATTTCTGTTGTGCTCTACCTGATACATTTATCAACCTAAAGAAATTGCTACAGGCATTTTCACAGTCTTTAGCACCAACATACATCTGTGGACAAACTTCTTCCAAGACAAAAAGTGTGAAAGCCAACTGTGGGTCAAAACTTAGATGAACATTTACATGACATTTTAAGGATGTCTGTCACTAACGTTGACTTGCACATTGTCTTGGCTAACAGAAAACAGCCACAAAAATCACACTGGCTAGGTAAGTATGTGTAGTTAGATAAAAGAATTCCTCAGTAAAAATATTGTTCTAAAATGGATTGCTTTCAAATTAACATTTCTTCATTGACTCCTGAATGAACGCTTTTGATGTAAATGGGCAGGTTAGTAATTTTGTTACATTTTGATGTAAGATGTGGCCCATTTGAATTTGGCCATGTCCCAG